TTAGTGTACACTTTTTATGGCCGGTAATGTATAGTGACGTCGGAACAGGAGTCCAGCGTCCAAATAAAAGCTAACGAGCAGCGCGCACTGCACGGGGGCTTAGTAATGGAGTACACCCGCAAGACAGACTCGATCATGTATTCGGAAAATTAGTAAAGATATTCAGAAACCTCATAGGGAATAGCGGGTTACAAAATACAATTTGTTTATGTAACTGAAATTGAAAATAAGCTGACTTCTCAGTTGAAGGTAAGCGGTAACAGTAGCCTACACATGAACAGTACTACGGACATTACGTCATCATGTGACATTCGTGACACATATGTGTTGCCATTTCAGAGTACTAAGATGCTTCCTATATATCCTATAACTTCACAGCCGAACCGAAGCTGAACCCTACAACTGAACATCACTATACAGCTTATAGAATATCACTATACAGTTAGTCAGTTATATGCTTTCTTGGTAACATTTTTTTAAATTGTAATTATTATAACATCAACAGTTAAATTTCAGGCAACCTTGATTCTCTGAGTTGGCTATACATAAAATTATTTACACGAACAACGTGATATCCTTGATGCTAACCGTAGGGTTAAATACATGTCGCATGTATTTCGATTCTTTGTAATAAGTAGTTTATTTTAGTACTAAATAAATAAAAAACTAAAAATAATGCAACATGGGGATATACCGTTATTACTGAAATGTTACAGACAGACATGTTACAATATCAGTAATAACTGTATATCGGCGAAGGTGTTCATTTTTTCTATTGGATTGATCTTATTTACAATCTCATTTAAATAAATAAAATCAAATACACAAATAAATAATCATGTGGTGGTTGTGGTGTGTTCGCGCAATCTATTGACGACGGGGCGCAAATAAAATTAATGGCATTATGTTGACTACAAACTGTGTCACTCCACACAATTAAAATATACGCAACGTCACATCATTACATAGTATACAACAAAGTCGTTGTCGCTGTCTGCCCGTCCCTATGTACGCTTAAATCTTTAAAACTACGCGACGGATTTTGAAACTGGTTTTTTTAATAGATAGAGTGATTCAAGAGGAAGGATTATATATATAACACATGTACATCTGTGCGAAGCCGGGGCTAGTAGCTAGTTTTGTAATAAATTATAAAATAATAAATAAATCCCAGAAGAAAGGAAGGGTTGGTGTAAATAAAATATAATAGTTATTTAAATATGTAAATAATATAAAACTATAAATAGTCGATTCTCTGTCGATAACCGCTTACGGGTGTGCGGTCGGATGGCGTGGCATCGGGCTATCGGGCCAGATCACCTTCCACACAGCGATAACCTTAAAAGCACCACCAATATTAATACATCAAACACCCACGTGCGCGCATACATCACCGGCCACCAGCTACCGACCACTGCGTACAAACACCAGAGAATTACATACACAGAGTGAAAGCTTTTTGGTTTGTACTCATTCTGAAAAAACATGATCGTAGCTGGCAGCTTGTCCACCATTCTTTTTTTAAATATTTGTATTATTTAGGTACCTCTTTTTTATATGTGATTATTCACTTCTTTGAGAACCCTCTTGGGAATTCTAATACACAATGATTACCGTTTTTTATTAAATAATTGTAGTGATCCTGATCCAGTCACAATGATTATTGCTTAGAGACATAATAAGTATTTGTAGAAAAAAATTAGGTATTGGAATGTACAGCGTCGATACTTAATGTTTAGTACCTCTACTTACGGGCCTGTCGTCAAGATTTGGCAAGACCGATAAGAAATAATCGAAATTAATCCGATCGGTGGCGGAAAGTACATCCCCTACAACGTTGGATTCAATTAACATATTCAGGCAGCTATACGTGGGTATCTCAAGTGTTGCGGTCACTATGACATAAACAATTGACTCTATCTCTGAGTATCCCATCCAGAATATTAATCGCGACGTGATTTTTTATATAACAGCAAAGAAGCTGGCGATTCGCCTGGTGGAAAGTGGAAAACATCTCCTATATACTGCACTTAAATGGAAACAAGTATAGGCTGACGTTTATTCATGCCTTTACATCGAATTGCCATTATTTTTATTAGCATAAGGATAAATGAGCTTGCGTCTCACCTAATGGTAAAAGATTACCGCCGCCCATGAGCACCCAGAACACCATAGGAATCGCAAGTACGTTGCTGGCCCTTTAAAATAGAATAAGTTCTTTTCTTGAAGGTTAAAATATCGTACCGGTTCGGAAATGCCATTGCTAATAGGTGATTCATTTTCATATTTTCTCTTGTAAACGGAATATAAAACAGCTGCTATCTGGCAGAACTCAATCATAATAATAATGCTTTATTTGTATATGTTTACATATTATAAAACGAAATCGCTGCCTCTATGTTTTCGGTTACACATTTTTAAATTACTCAGTTTTCAGTAATAGATATAGGGATTCAACAGGAAGGTTTATATGTACAATACATGCATATTTATTATAGAACAAACCAAGAAATACAAAGATTTGTAATGCATCCGTGTGAAGCCGGGACGTGTCGTTAGTAGTACAAAATGTAGAGGAAAAGGAGCAAAATATATCAATTAAACTTGACACTAGCTAACTAAATGGTAGTAAGTTGAGTAACCCATTGTGAAGACTCTGATAACCTAATTAGGTATTACATCGGTAACAGTCCTTTCTAAAATTGTTTAATGTAAATTAACTTTGTTACCAGTCAATAACAATATAGAAAATGACAATATAGTTGGCTAAACTTAATTGTGTTAATGCAGTGCCATTCGTGCTCCACCAGAATATACTGTCAGTCATATTTATCAGGTAGTAACCATGATGGTTTTCACGGGAACAGCGTGAAGACTGACCTGATACTGCACATTACTAGTGGATACGAACCCCATTACTAATAATCCCCTCCCCTTTATGTTTGTGCGACAACCTCGATGGTATAGCGGTTTAGCACATCGCCTTACTTCTGATGGTCGTAGGTTCAATTCCTCGCACAGTACAAACATTTGTATTCATAAATATGATTGTTTGTGTCGGTCTGGATGTTTTCTATTTATATGTATGTATTTACAAAAAATGTATATTTGCATTCATATCAGTTATCTAGTGCTCATAATACAAGCTCCTGCTGTGTGAATAGTCCTAAGATATTATTAATAAAAAATGCCTTTAAAATATAAATTTTACAGATAATTTTATGGTTGTTAAAAACGAAAAAAAGCATATAAATTGGGCACGCTTAGCTCATAAAAGAACATAAAAGCTTTTAACCACAGGTGGTTGGTCGGTTCCCATAGTTCAGTTCGGAGCCCATATATGCCGTGTACCATATATGAGACACGTGTTACATGGATCAATATCTTATCTGACTGGCGCCGGCGCCTGTAAGGGACGTCTAGGGGATGATGTTCCATACAACATAGACTGGCGTTTAAGTTGGTTGCGTTTCTTTATAATCTGCAAATGAAATAAAAATGAAAATAGATGTCAAAGTCTAATATATACTAGGTTTGTTACCGGTGTGATGTTTACACACCAGGTCACATGTTGAGCGGGGCGCGTTTATTCAAAGGAACTCTATCTTGACCGTTTTGCAGGAGTATCTTTACAAAGAGGGCAAATCTGATTTCAATGACCGTTGCGCGCTTCACGCACCGCTCCATAAAGAAAATTAACTTTATCCTAATTAAATTTAAGTATTTTAAAGTATTTTATTTTTGCTTACTGGGAGTGCCAAATAAGTTGACGATTCTCTCTTGTATATTGAAATCAAAAGTCGAAATGGAATAAGTATTAATTTCTGCATTATTCGAAATTTAACAAAGTGAAAACAAAATTTTACAGTTATTTAAATTTATTACTCAACTCATTAAAGTATCAGAATAAAGCGGTTTAAACGCCAAATCAGTACCGCCGGGCTGTTTCACAATCTCACTTGCCGCGCGGTATGGTAGCAATTTCAGATAATACTTGTCTTTACAAATTGAACAAAAAACATGCAACACGCAGTATAAAGAGTACCCAATATGTTAAGTGCATAATAAAGCACTATTAGTTAATTTATATTAAACATTTGATTGTTTAGGAGCAGATTTTTAAGATATAGGTACTTATCTAAGGCATATTTGTGCAAATCAAATGTTTTTTGATGTCGTAAGAATATTCTCTTTGTCGCAAGATTATTCTTATTACGACATCAAAAACATTTGATTGGCCATACTTATAATATAAGAAGAAATTAGTATTCGACTATCACAGGAGTGCATACAAAAATACACTCTAATTTACAATGTAGATAGGTACGCATTTTTGAACTGGTTTGAAGTACGAATCAATATATTTATAAATATAATTAAGTTGGCCCCTTTTTCAACCGGGCCTAATGATGTGTGCATTATTACATATTTTTAGATAAAAAGGACTTTTAATTATCTTATTCCAGGTAAGCCAATGAATATAATATAATTATACGCAATTACAATGTCGAATTTAATCGGAAAGTCTGTGTTTTAAATTTTTAATATTTAATTTATATTTAAGAAATTTGTAGATTTTAAACAAGTTTTCATATATTAAGTAGGCATTAACGTAAGTAAATTTTTTAATAAGTAACAATCAAAGAAAAATATGATTATTTAAGTAATACTAATTTCATAGCCCATTAAATACAATATAAATTCCTATTGTAGGAATGTCAATTGTTTCGTTTACTACGGCGCGGCTTAGGCAATTACCAACCACTCAGTCTCCCTCTCGCTACTCTGGGTTGACAGTCGTGAAGACATTATAATTATAATCAAAACCTATTTATTTATTTTGGAAGTTTAATTAAAAACGTGGAGGTACTGATGGTTGAGATGGTGAGACTTATTTGGATAGAGTCTTAGTAACCTAAAAAGTAAATAATACACCTTTTATGAATTTCTTTATATTTATTTACAAAACAATAATAAAAATTTAAAATACTTTGGCCATTTATAAGTATCTGAGAGAGTTAGCATTGCACAAGCATGCTTGAATTACAAATATTATCTATATATCTAGTAAATAGTAACAAAATAACACTATAATACTCTTTGGTAATCAGTCTGACAGTGAAAAAAGTTAAACTAAATATTATCAACAAACGTAATTTACAGGAAAATATTTCTTATTTTCTTCGCTATAGATATCTTTTACAGTACCATCGATGTTAGAGGCGTAAACATTTTTATTTTGTACGTATTGTGTACCGGATGTGTTTACATTTTCATCAATAATTAATTTAGTGCAATACCTCTCCTCAATATTTTCATCATAATTCAAACTGTCGTCAAAATATATGGTAGAAGACATTTCAACATTGCTATTAAAGTTCTTCTCTAAATTAATTTCGGGGTCATAAGTATCGTAATTAGCTACAGATGGATTTACTTCATCATCTACATGCTTATAAAGTTTTCGGCCACTATTTTTGCTTGGTTTCGCATCTGTCGACGTCGAAACTTCAGGAGATTTAATTCTTTTGCTCTTGTATCTTCTATTCTGGAACCAAATCTTCACTTGTGTGGGTGAAAGATTCAGTGCTTTAGCCAGCTGTTCTCTTTCCGGTGCGGTCAAATACCGTTGAGCTCGGAACCTTATTTCCAAGGCGTGGACTTGACCTTGTGAAAACAGAATTCGAGGTTTTCGTTTTGCATTTTTATCTTTTCTTTCCATCTTGCTGTTCACAGCGGCCTCTGTTGACAAAAACATGAACGAATGTTAAGTAGGTATTTTCTAAGTATAACATACAAGTATTTGCTATAAAAAAGTATGGAAGTATCAACACAAGCTCTGCTTAACTCGGGACTAGATGGGATTGTGTAACTTCTCGAGTGTAATTATTATTATTATTATTTTTAATGTAATTATCTTTATTAAAAGTAAAAAAATATTCGAAGAAATATTGTGAATAAAACTGTGAGGCAATTTATATTGACAGTAGTAGGTAAGCCTAAAATAATTTTGATAAGTATAGTTTTTATGAAAATAACATTAAATTGGAATAAAATTGAATTTGTGTATAATAGTTTAAATTCTATTTTAAACATAAACAAAAGTTATGAAAATATACATACTAATATGCTTTCGAGGCGACGAAGGTGACTTGTTGAAAGATTCCGAACTGGAATATGTCACGCTCTCCATTTCCTGTATACTTCGATCATCATAACTTCTTTTCGCAGCTAAAATTGGTGTGACCGGCATAGAGACTGCTTCTCTCTCCATTTCTAATTTGGGTGCCGGTTCTGGAAGTGAATGATGGGTAGGAACTACTAATTCTGGCACTTCATAATTCTGATGGTACAAGTTATGACAATATGGATTGTAGCCATAATAATCATCTATTTTAGGATCATGGTACATCTCTTGGTTCCAATAATGTTCCATATTTGTATGAACAGGCACATTTGGGTACATTTGATTAAAATAATCCGGCGGACAATATGTTTGGTTTTGATGATATACAGGGTCGTATTCATAGTTTTTCCTCTCTCTGTCGCTTTTCCATGACTCGTTTCGTTCGTAAGTATAATTTGGTGGTTGGTTAATATTCAAAATGTCTTTAACAGAGAATGGGGTGTTCAAATTCTGCTGATTTAACGCTGAACTTTCTTCTAATTTTATTCTATAGTTCGTCTTTTGATCATAACAAGCATTTGACACATCACTTTTATGTTTATCGTAGAACTCATTAGTATAGTCATAATATCCGTTTTTGCATTCATTATAATCGTGTTTCAAGTTGTTATTATTATAAGAGGTGGATACTTCGTTGTGTTGTTCGAAATTATCCATTTCACTGACACTTTTCACTTAAGATCATTAGTTATTTTGATTAATTGTTTCAAAGTGAATTAATGAACTTGCTGTTTAGGAGAGAGGCGATGGAAGACTGATGGTGTATAGATTGGGCCCTGAAACCAATCGACGGTGACTGGTGTGTTATGGGCGTGGTTATGGGGATAGTGCCGTCTCTTTCTTTTATAAGTAATAAAGTATGTTATTGTCTCTGTCGGCGATTAGGGCTGTTTACTATGGAACGTAAATAAACCGTATGATTTCATGTGGGCGCTAAGAGTGATGTGCCCTTTGATTTTATTAATGACTCAGTAATTTGATTATTTAGAAAGTATGCGGCAATGTTATAGAATGCGTCCGTTTATTTACATTAAGTTAAATTGATGATTTATTATTAAGTAATGTTTTTATAATATTATATCTTAATATATTATTTTATTTATTTACAGTATACATAGTTACAGGTAGTTAATAGCTATAAACAAACTTTTAAAAGTTTTTATATTTGTTTCTTATCGAATATTAATTAAAATACTAAATTAATAAATAATGACATATCTAGGGTAAAAATAATTCGGAACCGCGTAACTTAGAATGATATGTACCTAAATAAAAAATATTGATATTTACAACTATAACTGTAATACCTAGATAGGGGTAGACCAGAGATATTGGTTACTGTGGAAACTGTAGGAAACTCAACATATGACACAAACTCCTATTAGTAGGAACATTTTTTTATTATTAATGATTTATTAATAATAGAAATGCTCCCACCTAATATGATCTTTTTATTACATACACTGATTGACTGGTATTTAAATGTTGTGCTCACATTTCTTATAGTGATGGTTTATTTGTTATTGTTAGGCGAAGTGGTCTGAACATATTTGTTTATATTGACCTGTCAGCTCTATACCCTGATAGTGTAGGTGTTATTTATTACAGGCAATTGATTTTCGTCCTTATGTGATAGCATAAAGGATTATAATAAGATAATTTATTGATATATTGTGTTAAGCCACATCATAGCCGTAGCTTATTAGGCAAATTTATAAAGGTGGAATGTCATTATTGAAACGACTATATGAAGGCAGCATTACTCAGTCTAATTAAAATATACATAATCACGAAATATTGTGAGACTGGATGGAAGTTTAGATGTTGATTATTCTTTACGTAAAGTTTTTACGTAAATTTGAGAGGATTCGATTCATATTTGGTGACACGCCGCAGTATAGCTAGGTACCTACAGTTTTAAGGACATATATTATTAATTAATTTAAAATCTATGTTTTTTATCCGTTGGCTAGTACCAATACAAGTTCTGCTAACTATATACAGGTATATTATATATCTAAGAATAAATAAAAATACAATTGACACAGCGCCATCTAGTTCCACGGTAAGGAGAGCTTGTGTTATTAGTACTAGACAACTGAATACATAAATACTTGATTTTTTTTAAATACATACTTAATATACTTAGAACAAACCCAGACCGATACAAACAATCATACTCATGAATACAAATGTTTACACCATGCGAGGTATCAAACCCGCAACCGTCTGAAGTAAAGCGGTATGCTAAACCGCTAGACCACCGAGGCCATCAATGTAGGTATAGATATGTAATATTGTATTATCTGTAGTATAGATAAAAACCTTCGGTACATGGGTTTTGAGTCAGCATAATTTTACCGAAAAGTATTGTTGATATGGTCATCAACATCTTTATAGCGATGAAAGGAAATACAGATGTTCGCTACCTGTCGACTTTTGCACTTATAGAGATCGTAATATTAAAAAAAAATAGAATTAAAGTTTATGGACTGTTAATTTTTTACTCAATTTCCAGAAAGTCTTGCAATGAATCTTGGGAATGAATGAATCGTAAACCGGAGTGCCCTTCGCGGTTGTAATCTGAAACTTTATGGCTTCTCACTGAATAGCAATTTGAGATATTTACGATTTTACCAAACGTCTATTACTATCTGTTACCCCCGCTTCCTTTGCTTTATTTCAAATAAGGCTATATAAGGCTCGGTTTTGCCGCAAATTTCATTGAAATCTTATCGATTAGTACGAACAATACGGAAATATGTATTAAGTAGGTAGATAATCTATAAAAAATAAATAAAATGAACAGTCTATTTGTAATTTTATATTAACAGTTTTTACTAAATGTATTTACATCAAAAAATAATTTTAAATATTTTTCACTGTCTGTTCGTTCTTGCTAATTTCTGAAACGGTTTGTTTCTGTCGGAGATAGCTACTGATATAAAGAATAACTGCGACCACTTTCGTTTCAGACATTTTATTTTAGTATTTTAATAAAAAAAGTTCAATTTTACGTTTTTCGATGTAGCTACTTTGTGTATTGGGAATCAAATTTAAACCCTAAATGATATATTGTAGCACCTAATTGACCTTCAATTATTTCTAAGCAACTAGTAGCAGTAGGTAACCGGTTACAATTCTATGACCAACAAAAATTAAAACGGTTAATAAAAGAGGCATAAACTGTATATATATAATATATAACATCAAATACATTTACGAGTACGAACACAAGAGGGTTCCTTGGCTAAATTTTATAATTTGGTTAAATTATATCTATCCTTATTATTTCTGAAGGACAGATAGACGACCTATACTTAGGTTTCTTTGTATAATCCTATTTACGGCTCAATACAGTATATTTTTTTTCTGTATAATTAGAATTTTAGAAATAATATTTCGAGAAAGTTAATAAAAAAAGTTACTTAGGTGTAAAGTTTGTTACAGGAATTCGAATTTCAAATTTCTTTCGGAACGTCACAGCATGTCATCTAAATGCGAGGTCTGACAACAATTGATTCTATAACATAAAAAAAAACACCAAACGTATATTAGCTGGCACGTGTGGCTTCCGATTTCTGAGGAATATTAAAAAAAAAAACAGATGTATCTGACCTTTCTTTTTTTCTAGGAAACAATTTGAAATTCAATTTATTTATTAACTTTGGCAATTTTATTCATTTTGCCTTAAATTAGATTTCTGTATTTTTAAATAATATATTTTATTATTATTTATAGGGACTATGTAAGCAAATAATAAAGAAACGGAATAATAATCATAGGACTGTACAACGCAAATATTTTTTTATACATAAAAAACAGATTAATACTATAAAAAATATTATACATATTACCATGTATTCGACACACGTATGTTAGGTACACTTACTTTATCATTAACACTCACTTTGTTTATCATTAAACTCTGTGGTCAAATTGAGGATAGATAGGTATATATATATTGTTTGCCTTTAATTTTATTTATCTATAACTAGTCTTACTGAATTTAATTACGGTCAAATTTCGACCACCGGGTGACTGCTAATTTCATTTAAAGAACATATGTAGTTTCGTAAACCATGTCATATGTGTGATCTATTAAAATGTTAGAATGATTTATGAAAGTATAAATTGATTTGAAATGAAACAGATCAAACAGAGGGTGGTGTGTGGACGGAGTAACTAAAAACCATCGCACCATATCTATGCATTCTTACATATTACGCCGCACCAGGAATGATGTGTAGGCCTCGGTTGTTTAGCGGCTGAACACAGCGCCATGCTTCCGATGGACGCGGGTTTTACTCCTCGCACGGTACAAATATTTCTATTCATGAGTACCTACCTTTTATTGTCTGTATCGGTATGAGTGTTTTCTTTATATATTATGATGTATTTACCAAAGGTATTTGTATCAGTTGTCTAGTAAACAAGCTGGTGCTTAGCGTAGGACTAGTTTACGCCGTAGTGAATTGTCTTGTCATATTATTACTGGTTAGGTTATGTAGGTAGGTAACCTACATAACCTAACCAGTAATAATATGTTATCTAGTTAAGCTGATTATTTACGGTGACATTAATAAAGTGATACCATAATAGTAAAGTCAAACTTTACAAGTACGATAACGACCTCCTTTGTAGCTCATAAATAAAAATTTACATCAACAACAATTTTTAGAGCAAGCAATTCCAAATATTGCCAATAGAAGGACACTTGAAAGCTGACAAATTAGTAATAAAGTAGCGAGTTTACGATGTACTCCTACGCAAGTGAAGTGGATTCTTTAAACGGGCGGATTCCACATTTTTTTAAAGCAATTTACTATTTTTTAACATTCTTAAAATATTTGTGTAAATTAGGGTTGCCAACCCCAAATTTAAAATGGATTTAAAGTTGGGAGCACTAGGACAATTCAGTTTCAAAACAGGACCTAATAGAGTTTCAATAGTTAAATTAATATGTATTGAAAATAGGTGAAATTAAATTCGTGTTATTAAAATAAATATATTTTTAAATTTAATTTTTAAAAATGAATTATAAATTTCTACATTCCAGGACGCTGCTTAAATACGTCCCAGGACACTGCAAAAACTAGGACATGTCCTGGGAAAAAACTTTAGTGGCAACTCTAGTATAAAATCAATGTAAGACACATTCGCTTATTAAATAGTCTGTTAACTTAAATATTTCACGTTGATTATCAATGCCCGAATTTTTTTGTTAATCACGAACGTGTTGATTAAAATTAGGTACTTTGCCGTTTGTAGGTATATAATACTTGCCTTATTAAAAATACGAAACTCAAGCATGTATGTGAGAGTTGACTGCTACAGAAAGCATTCACCTGATTTTGTACAGATTGTGTTGTGGTATTGATTATAACTAGGACATGAACTGTCGGAACTTATCTTTAGAACCGGGTTAGCTTTCTACAACAGGTAAGTACCTGTACCAGAGCAGCGCTCTCCATTGCGTTTTCCTCGCCTTTATTTATTTGTAATACTACTTTACTCGTTTGTAATATACACAAATAAAAAAAAAATGTGTCAGGCAGTCAGCTTTTCGCTAATTGCATATGAAAGCATAATGAAAGTATACTTACATATCAAAAATATTAAATTATGTTTTGTCTATTTATCTCTTTGTTTTTCATATTATCTGACATGACTGGACCGATTTTGACGAGCTCTAACTATAAAGATTTTATATTGGGATTTATGAAAAATAATAAGAATAGAATAAATATAAATGAAAACATAAATGAAAGGCAAATACGGAAACACTATTTTTTTGAGAGACTCGCAGTCGTCTTTTTTTTAGTAATATGTTTTCCCTTTTTATATACATAAATATATGGCAATGAAATAATAATGAGTTTTATATACAAAAGTTTATTACATACGGAATTAATACTCGCTTGTAAAATTGTAAATTGAACTTTATCATATATTCGCAAACACTTCTCTCCCGCCATCTAGCGTTGAGTAGGATAATAATCTCTACACGATCAGGCGTGTACGTTTCCTATTAAAGTTGCTTCTTATTAATATTTAGACGAACACTGTTAGATGACGCTGTGAGCTCAGATGTCTGTTACTTTACTTGATGGTATACATTATGTACAATAGATGGCGCTTATAATAATATTTCAAATCTTGTTTTTAATGAACAATATTTTAAATGTCTATGATTATGGTACTTAATTTTAAACTTTCTACGTATTAAATAACCAATTAATACAAAAACGTTTTACATTATATATGTAGGTACTTATGGTGTTATGTCGTTGGATATATTTATTAATATTATTACCATAAAAACTTACGTCTAGGTCATTCAGTTCATTGTGACAAATTTACCAGAAAGTTATCAAGATAGTTTCCAGGGAGACCTCGTGGAAATCAAACTGACATGGTAAATTGTTAGCAATTGTATCATTAATCCATATTACAAACTATTGGGATTTTATTTATGCAGAGGGCAAATAAGGAAACACCATTTTATTCGCAGTCGCCTTTTTATTATTATGATTTCTCTTTTTTATATACAATAATATATGTCAATATAACAAAGGAGTTTTATGTCCAACACAAACAATCTCCGTCCCCCGGGGTTTTCAATATTAAAAAACTAAAAGTGAATTTCAAAGTTTTCAGTTTATTATATTACTTAATGAGTTTTTGCACTAATGAGTTGAATATACACGAAGTTATAGTAATAGAAATAGTAATGGGCTATATATTAGTAGATAGGATCAATCAATCAATCACTTTATTTTGTTGAATATACAGGGACAGCCAGTACCTACCTAAATTTAACATTTTTCTCTATATTCTGCCTATGCGTAGGCGTCCAAATTTAAATGTTATTTTATTACACATACATTATTTTATATTATATGATAATATCATAGATTTAATGTTACAATAATTTTTAGTTAGCAAAAATTCTCTCGTGGATGTTGTGGTTTAAAATTGATATAGGCAGGTATCTAGCAATAAATTACATTGCTAGGCAAATGAAATTAGTCGACAGAATAAAATGACGAATAATATAATTTTAAGTACGTACATCTGTTATTCAATTTAAATTATAAACAAACATCAGTATTGGATTAATTATTCATTAATTGACAAATCGTGTGCTAACCGCACGCGCGTTGATTCCGCACAGTCATTGCGACTATCACAAAGACAATCTCCGAATCGAATCACCCGAGCCAAATAATCGAATAGTCCGATTGTTCTGAACGTTGACTCTGTGGGTGGTCAATCGATGGCTGGATGCGATTACTAAATGGGTAATTACATGTCATGTTTTATGATTCAATAGTTCAGATAGAAATATTAGATCTGTTAATTCTACGAATTCAGACTTGTCTTCAACCTTTCTGTACTTACGTATCTGGTGTCGCTATGTACCTATTCCTACATCACAATTATAATGAAGTCTGACTACTGGCCAAAGGTGTATGTCACGGTTATAGTCGTAACCTCAGATACAAAATTTATAAATATTTTTGTCTTTATTTTATATGTAATATGATAGTCTGTAAGGTATTATATAATCAACTTAATAATATTGGCCAATACTGTAAAGTTCTCTAAAAATAGAGATAAAATAAATTTAGTTATTTTTGAAAATACGCTGTCCTCACGAATTTCTATTGGATGATTGGCTGGGAGAAAATGCCTCATAGTGTTAAATCTACCTCATAGTGATAAATACCTATAGTACGATTATTAATTCCAGTCAGTAAAATAACTAGTGCAACTGGAACTGATACAAAAAAGGGTGCAATAGTTGCTACAATAGTGATGTTCCGCAACATCTTTAGGTATCTATATGAAAAACAGAATGTCGTCCATAGTGTGATAAGGGATGACCATAGTGTTTCCAATAACCAAAAACAAATAATATAACAGTATTTTATGTAATATTTAATTTTTTATCGTGTATGTCTTCTGTTTAATTACCGTAAATTACATATTTTTATATGACAATTTGATATTAAATAAAAAAAATATAATCTCGACTAACGTTTAATTGTAAAAACTCGATTCTCGCATCACTATTTATTTGGGACTAAAAACCTGCAACACTGGAAATGTCATTTTACTGACTGAAATTAATAATTATAGTTTAAATGTAGTGCTCAGGAATGTCAACGGATGAGAAGTTTCCGGGTGTCTGTCACCTATGGGAATAACGGTTATTTTATGTACCTACCTACAAACTTCTACAGGCATCCCTCCATAGTAATATTATAAATGAGAAAGTGTCTGTCTCGCTATTTGTTACCTTTTCACAACTAAACAACTCAATGGATCGTAATGAAATTTATATGAATAGAGATGGATGAATACAAGCTATATGTTTTATTATATTTGAATTAATAATTAAAAAGTTAATAAAACAATCTAATAATCTTCTTATTATAATCTGTGTTTATCTCACCTTTACCTGTGTGCTACAGGTAAAAATAATAATTATAAAAAACTGTTCCATTTTCTCTATGGTAAAAAAATATAATGGTAAATTAAAGATAAAATGTCATGTCTCGAGGTTTGACATAAACTTGAGCTTATGCTTGTTGCAACAGCGCATTGAAATATCAAAGTTTGTGATATTGAAACATGACAATATTGACTAAAGTTCTCAGGTTACCTAATCAATATCCACTGCTGCGTGGTATGATATCTTACGCCATAATCTGGCCAACATGCAGCATAGTACAGGAATACATAATCAATGGGACCACCATAGGTCACGCAGATTGGTCCAGAGCGGCTCGTTACAGTGTTTTTGGTACGTTTTTCATGGCACCTGTATTTTATGGTTGGATGAAATACACAAGTAGATTCTTCAGAAAGAAAAACTTGAAGACAGCGTTTACTAGAGCTGTTATAGAGCAAGTTTCATACTCCCCTTTAGCGATGGCTTATTTCTTCTTTGGAATGAGTGCACTTGAAATGAAGCCTCTAAATTCTTGTATAAAAGAAGTGAGAGAGAAATTTTGGTCAACTTACAAGTTAGGGGTAATCTTCTGGCCGGCAGCGCAGACTATAAACTTCTATTTTGTATCGGAGAAGAATAGAATTGTGTTTGTAAGTGCAGCTAGTTTTGTTTGGACAGTATATTTGGCGCATGTGAAGGCTAAAGATCAGAGTGATGTTGAACTGAAAGTTATGGATGAAAAGAAAATTTGACATTTTTTGTATGAGGTCAGTCTTTTGTGTCTTAATTAAGTGAGATAGTTCTAATTTAAATTAATTTACTATAATACAAATTATAGTAAATTAATTTAAATAATACAAATTTTAATTAAAATTTGTTAAGTTTCATGTGACTGCAGTGCCTGTGATTTTAGAAGACAATAGAACTTTATTAATGTTCAACTTATAATTTAAATTAATTATGGTCGAATTTCAACCACTTGTACCTGTTAATATTGTACCTATTAATAAATATGCGCTTAGTCAAGTAACGGCTAACGTTTCAACATGTAGCTCCTTATTTCGCTAAGTATATATCATAACTTCTTTAGTTTTAACCGGAATTACCCAGGTGGTTTGTTTTTGTAAATCTGTTTACCCCCAAGATATCTTTAGGTGCAATTGTATACATCTATATAGTCATGAGAGATTATTCAATAGGTGGTAAAGTGAACACTCGAATAAACCTTTAAAGGCTATAATCGATTCTACGGCTTTCTATCCGATTTGAACTTGTATCCCTCCGACTAATGGTTTCATTCAGTATGAATTATTACAAAAAACCACTCCGACCGATTCAAGATTTTTTTATATCGAGCAAAAAAACTGGACAATGTTATTAGAATTAATAATGGGAATGGATTTTTATGAGGAAATATTTTTATTGACGTCATTAATCATGTTTTGTCAACGCCGGGGTTCAATGATTCAAATATTCGAGCTTCGAACTTGGACTTTTTTTGAGCTTCGAAACTTTTTTGTTTAGTAAATTATGAGCATATTGTTATTTATAAGTTATGTAACTATTTCATATGTTTATATCTATATTAACTCTATGGATAGTTAATAAATAAACGATTTACTTATCAAAAAGGCACTTGCAATTTTAAGAGCATAAATAACACAGAACCGTTAGATGTGATATGTTTTTATTTTACTACTTTTAGAAAATACTGATTTAAAGAGAACTATTATGTTCAGTTTTTTTGTCAATAATTTCCAATTGAATCTGTGTGTTTAGTAGCACACCATGATTCGGTAGTTCGGTTATAAAATGCAATAAAATCTTCGATGTGCATAAGCTATCTATATATCTATCGAATTATTGTTCTATAATTTGATTTTGAGTGTTCTAATGTTTTGTTGTTTTAAACTCCTATGATAAGTAATGCATTCTACGTCGTGACACACTGATAGCGATATAAATCTATCTAGAATCGAATTACTTTCTAATTTAACTTCAGAATGTATCATGAACATTATTTGTCACAGGAATTTAAGTGTTTTAGCGACCGACTTTGTGATCTCTTTCTTCAGCTTATTCACTTTTTATATATTTTTTATTTTGGTACAATTATTTATGAGTTTGTGATAGTCATTGTTTTTGTTGGTTCGTTACTGATATTGTCCGTATGTGTAGTTTCAGTAAGACTGCGTGTGTTTAATCTGATCGATCCGTTACAATATGCATGAAAATTTATTAAAGTAAAATTGCAATATTACGTGTTTTTTTTAAGAATAATAAACAGTGCATCAGACTGTAGGCGCTAAAGTTGACGGGATACTAGTGAGGGATAATAGGATAAGTATGAAATTAGATCAGCGTATAGTGGGGAATGCACCAGAAATAAACCAAGATGTTGTATTGCTAGCAATGAGTCTATTACTTCTCGTTACTTACAATCTCTCCCTTGAAGTAACTAATTATAGTTACATAGATGTTGCTTGATAAAAGAGTGATAGTGAGCTCAAATATGTTGGGCAATTAGTGACCAGTGATTGAGATGAAGCAATGACGATAATGATGAAAAGTTATTGTAACATTATGAATGTGTAAAAATAACACGTCAAATACTTACATCAGACTCCATAATCCAGGTAACAATAGTTCCTGCATTAAAAAGGCTCTAAATGCAGGAACTATTGACAAATTAGATTGTAAGTAGGTATCGCTAGCAAGTAATTACATACTGAATTAAATAACGTACAAATTGAAGTTACGCTTCAGAAATAAGCAACATCATAGAACATAATAGGAAAAATATTTTTATAAAAAAGTTTGACTTCCCTTTTCCTATCCCTTCCCTGATTGCAGTTAACTCATCTACGGTATTGAATCACCTTAAACGGTTCTCTTAACCATAAATAAGACTATTGACAAAATGGCGCTAAATTGAATATCGCAACCAATTAAAGACACTAGGCTCGATATATAATTAATTAAAATTGTAAAATCATTCGCATGCAAATGAATCAACTGATTCATTGCTACTCTCATACGCGTTATCCGAGCCAGATAACATTTATTGAGTCCAATGTATAGCAAATAACAAACATCCGGTCTCATTCTGTCTCAATTCAACAGTGCTTGCATTAAAATTCGCTTGAGAAACACAACGATTAATTAGCTTGATAACTGCGTTGTACCGACGGCTACCGTCCCCTGGTTTTGGGTACAAAAGAGCCGAAACGGGTCCTTTTCACTTAACGATCTCGCGTCTTACGAGGCTACCTAAAAAATAAATAAAAAAAAAACAACTTTATACCTGACCCTTGCTGAGATATTTGCTGAGATGTTTTTACCGCAAGAGTGTTGTGATATTTTCCATCTAATTTAAATGCGTAGATTTAATCAATATGAAGAAGAAAATTGATATATAATATAAATAGTTACCAGGTATAGCTAGGCGTGTGTAGAAGCGTCGATCACCGTTTGATTCTTTTAACTAATTTAACGAACCTCATCAGAATATTATCTTCTCTGTGCCCGTCAGGTACCTGACGAGGTTTAAATACCTTTCTTTTATAAAAATAGGTTTATCTACTTGTAAAATATATTGCATTTTTGTATTTAATGGTTTTAATTTCTATATTTTTTAAATGTACTCGTAGGTTATTGGGCGAAGATGTTTAGATATTATCGCCGAACTTTCATTCGACGAAAAATTGTGTCGTCTAATGAAAGTTTTACCGAAATAAACTTTGTGACCTGCTTGCAACAAAGAGCTTGTTTCTTAAGCTAATATAGCTTTTACAGTTGAATCTCACAATATATCATGGCATTGAAATTCAGGGTTTTCGTACCCTGAATTTCAATGCATGATGGATGTTAGATGTAATTAAATTAGCTGTCAGTTTATTAATTATAACAATGTTATAACCTATATAAATACATAAGATAAACGCGACTAAAATTCTACTATTGGCGGTATTATCAACTCTACGTTCATCTACTAGTGAACTATTTCACGCTACTTCATAGAGGTCTATATTTTGTTAGAGATAAAACTGACCAAAATCACATGACATAAAGTGACTTTTTTCGGATTACTACTTCAAATGCCTCACAAAGTCCCTTTCTTCACCTGCCGTGCAACATTATTTATTGTTATTCGATGAAAAAAAAAAGATCGGCAAAGGTACGGGTCACACTGTAATTGATTTAATTTCTGAAGTTACATAATTACTGTGAAATATGGTTGTCGACGGCAGTTTTTTTTTCGCTTATCTCAACGAGATATCTATGGTTGTTCGTTGACAGTTTAAACTTTTTGTGAAATTAAAAAAATATGATCCCTTTTATGGCAGGCCAGTTTATGATTTTTTATAATTTTGTGAAAACAATCATGTTGAACAGATTCATTAGTAATAATAATACTAATGATGGACACACACACAGTGCCAGCTACTCCTAAGCTAAGCAGAGCTTGTGTGATGACTACTAGGCGACTGATATAAATACTACAATTTGTTTTTGTAAATACATGCATACATAGTATACATAGAAAAATCCCAGACCAATACAAACTATCATATTCATGAATACAAATGTTTGTATTGTTATTGTATTATATTGGTCTGGGTGTTTTGTATGCATATTATTATTATTGAAATATTTAAGTATTTATATCAATTGTCTAGTTTCCATAACACAAATTCTGCTTACCTTGGGACTCGATGATGTATGAATTGTCCAGGAGGTATTATTATTATGATTATATATGGCTATAGTAGGATCAGTCAAGAAACTGGTCAGTGATTGATCATTTAAATTCACTTGATTCACATACGACTGATGGACACGCAGTCTGCGTGTGCGAATCGTACCTATATATAAATTAATGTAACTAAATGATGACGAAACAATAATACAGGCAATTACGAAATCCTTTAACGGCAAAGACGTGCTAAAAATATACCTACCTACATTTTTATGTTTATAGTAATTAAAGATTAGTTAACTTGTAATTAAGTTGTATTTCTTCCTTTAATGTGAATGTAAGTTGATTGACACCATTGGTATTTTTACGAGATTCTCAACTTTAAAAGAGTTTTATAAACAAATAATACTTAACGTGTCCACATATATTTAGTATCTATACATATAATATTATCTTCATTACCGGACAGTAAAAAAACACCGTCATACTGCGGCCAGTCCCTTTAATCAGGTACAAAATCCCAAATTTAGCAACAATTAAAATTAGTAACGCTAAAACTGGATTTTAAACGATACAATCATTTCGATAGCATCGCCTTTTACATTAATTTGGAGGGAACCGCAATGAAATAATCATAATCGATTTGAAATATATTTAAAAATCTCGACTTGACTCGTTTTGAGGCGATTACGGAAATGTGAGATTTCTGACGATTTCAAACAATTAAAAAAATGTGCTCAGAATAAGTGTTGGTTGCTATGCTAAGTGTTTTTGTTTTATTTACGTTAACTTTATCAATCTTATATTATAAAAAAATTCATGGTACAAAGTTAGTTACAATACTCCGCCGATTTTTATGAAATTTTATATACATATGCAGTAGGTCTCAGAATCGGCTACTATCTATTTTTTATACTCCTCAGTGATAAAGGTTGTCCACCCTTAATATTTTTTTTTAATTTCTCTAGTCTCTGGTTTAGATAGTCTTATATAAATGTAACAGTTTTCGTCTGTCTACCGGCAGGATAGTATTTCTGTATAAATACATATGGT